GGGCAGCCACTCTCCACGCTGTCCCGCCGATCCCACCGGGCGCAGTGCGGGCTCACCAGGCCGCCTCCATCCACGCACACTGCTGTCATCGTCATGGCACCGCAGCTCCCGTCTCCATCTCAGCCAGGAGGCACGGCCAGCGGCAGGTTGGGAGGCAGAAGAGACCCCTTGGGTGGGCGAGGGGCGTTAGGGACCGCCCGGGCCCCAGCCCATCAGAGCCGGCCTGCAGGAGGCAGCGGAGCCCGCAGAGCTTCCCCGGAGGCCCTCACCTTCCTGCGCTGGACCCCCAGCTCTCACTGTGCCGGAGGGCGCACGTCTTTGCACCGCTGTCACCCCCTGTCCGGCTGCGGGAACTTCCTGGCCGCAGTGCAGCCTGATGCTCTGTGCTAGGCGCTGGTCCTGGGACCACGGTCCGGTTTGCTATTTCCTTTGAGGGTCAGAGGGTCTATCACTGGGGAGGCCCCCGGGGCCCCGGCTGCTGGCGCTCAGCTCTGACCTCCCTCATTTCACGAGGCTCTTGCATCTGGAGCCCCAGAAAGAAGAAAGCTGCCAACAGCCTTCCAGCCGGGGCGGGCGGGCAGTGGAGGATTAAGTCCCGCTATGTCACTTTAGCCGGCCTTTATTTAGATGAGCCTTCCCCTAAGCCGCGAGCTGTCTCAAAAATTTGGCAGGTGCTGTTCGCCCTAAGAACAGAGAGGAAGAAAACGTATTAGCAGGGGAATGAACTGCACAGGGTGGGTGAGGAGTAGGGGGTCTGCTCTGTAAGCGCTGACCTGAGAGCACTATGCGAATTTCAGCTCGGAGGCAGGCCTGCGGTAAATGCCCGATTACATGTGACTTAGCAAGAGGAAAAGGTATGTGCACCCGCTCCTCAGGCCTCCTTTTAGAAAAGCCCTCACAGCCTGCAAACACTTCTAGCAAAACAGGTTTTCTATTTTGTGATGCTTAGGAAAATATGCATGTTGCTTTGGGTTGCTTTATTTTATTTTATTTTTAAAAATATTTTAAAAATTGATTTTAGAGAAGAAGGGAGAGGGAGAGAGAGATAGAAACATCAGTGATGAGAGGGAGTCATTGATAGGTTGCCTCCTGCACGCTCCACACTGGGGATGGAGCCCACAACCCGGGCATGTGCCCTGACCGGGAACCGAACTCTGATCTCCTGGTTGACAGGTTGACACTCAACCACTGAGCCACGCCAGCCGGGAGCTTTGAGTTGCTTTAAAACCAGATTTTTAAAGTTATAATAGGATAGTCATGATGCTAAAGATTTTCTGTTAACATCCGTTTTCAAAAGCTCTTACACTGATTCAAATAAAAATGTTATGCTTCCAATGTGGTCTCAGTTGTAGGTTCTCCTACAACATTTTCTATATTTTTTGCTCCTACTCGTTCTTCCTGTTGTCATTCTATGCCAAAGGCTAAATGTCCTCCTCGTCTTATTTCCGGGGTATTTTTGGTCAGGTGTCCGCCTGCCAGCCCAGCGGCTCATTTTGAAGGTGCAGGAGCAGAGGGTGGGAATCCGTGGCATCCTCCGTGAGAGGAAGCACTGCCCGCTAGTACGCCCTCCTGACCTGCTTTCCTGCGCCCTCCGCCCTCGGGGAGGAAAGATTCACTTCCTCCCTGAGCCCCCAGGGCACTTGGTGCATTTCCCACAATGTCTCGTCTCCATAAAGGTGGGAACTGTAGGCCCTGCTGCCCCCGTCTCCCTCCGATCGGAGCACGGGGCCTGCAAACAGAAAGTGCTGCTAACTGGGTGTGGAACTTGATTTTTGGATTTGGGCATTGCCTTGGAAACGTGAATCTCCACTTCTGTTGATGACATCACATTGTTACGGGTGAGTACAGGACTGCCTAAGGCACCTGCCCCTCACACTCCTGTCTCCCAGAGCTCGGCACCGTGCCAGGCACTTAGTCAATAAACGTTCATGATGAAGGGATGCATTAACTTAGAATTCACTGACCGTTACATTAGGCAGGATTTAGTAGAGGCAAGTACCTTTATGTATCAACTAATGACTCGCTCCCAACATTGGCTTGAATTCTTTCAGAAGGCTGATTTCAGTCCCCATCTCCCCCCCATCCATCCCCCACCCCCGGCCGGGGCCACCTTCTACTCCATCAGGATTCCCCGCCCCACTTCTGCGCAGGTGAAAGCCAAGTTGGAATCCCACCTCCACACTAAGAATTGCTACAGGACTGAATGCAAGAGACAGAAAAGCCAAGTGCCCCCCAACCTTGCTTCTTCCAAAGGCTCAGGTGTCCCCAGGCACCCCGGTCTCACGCCTCCTGGAACCTGGTCTCTGGCCCCCTGTGCAGTGCTTGCCCAGGACTTTCCTCGGCTCCCCTCCCCTCCCCCTCCTGATTTGGGCTCTGTATCTTCAACTCCATTCAGGCCTGCGATTGAGAATCAGGTTTTGGATTTGCTGCTTAACTTCAGATTCCAATTGCACACGGAGGGGTCAGACTCGGCTGCCAAGGGTGGTCGGATTACATACACCCGCAAATTACATTTCCTGCACAATGGCTTTGAAACAATCCGTCTTGCCTTGATGACCAGGAGACAGTTAATCTGGCAGATCAGAAGGAGGATTTTACAATTTTAAAACATTGCTGTGGGTTTGTATTGAGGAAGATTTGTAAGTTGAGACAGGTTGCCAGTCAACTGGAGGAAAACTGAACCTCTACCTCCTGCCAAGATAAATGCCAACTAGATCACCTAAATAAAAGCAAAATAAACGAAACCATAAAATACTAGGAAAAAACCCGATTTTTTCATGACCTCGGAGGTCATAAAAGAGATCATTAAATTTGACTATATAAAATGGTAACTTTCTGTTTGCCAAAAGAAAGCACTAATGAAACAAGATCAATGGTAAACTGGTAGGAACGCTTTCCAGCATGTGTGATAGACAAAGGGCTAATTTCCTAGACAAAGAATTTTCACAAATCGATAAGCAAAAACACCAATATCTTAAAAATTATAAAGAATGTGAGCAGACATTTCACAGAAAGTACAGATGACTCTATACTATATGAAAAGATGCTCAATCTCAATTGCAAAAAACAAACAAACACACAAATCAGGTAGCAAATCCATAAATTAGACACTGAAATTAGATTTTTCTACAAATAAAGTTGGAAACTACAAAAAATGTGATAATGCACTGGTCACAGAGGGTTTGGGGAAACTCATTGTTACTTAGAGTCAGAATTCCTACAGCTGCCTGGAGGGCCATGGGCTGTAACTGCCACTGAAGTACAAGTGTCCATATCCTTTGCCAGCAATTTCGCTTCTAGAATGTATTTTCTCTGCATGCAGGGAGCTTCCAATCAGATTGCATTCCGAATGAATGTCCCGTCCAGAGGCACCATATACCTGAGCAAAGCCTCCAAAATTAAAGAAAGGTATGTATCCAACCAAAATAGTAACAACCAAAAGGCACTTGAAGGAAACACCAATGCAGGAAACAGGAGGCAAAGATAAGATATTGCATCCATAAAACCAGAATAAAATGAGAGAGAGCAAGAAAGAGCTCTCTTGGAAATTGAAATTGAAGAATTGTAGTAAAAAAAAAAATCTAGAAGAGATAAACAATAGTGAAAAAAGACAAGACAACCAGCTGGTCGATTCTGAAAGTCCAGCACCTAATTATTAGACTTTCTGGTGACACTCTTGCCCACCCAGTAAAGTAAGACACATGGTTTCCGTTGTACTTGACCTGCCAACAAACCTCAGAAATGTCAGAAAACTATGGGTTCTCACAAACTCCAGTGGAAGAAGAAGAGTAGATGGAGAAAACCTTCACGGAAAAGATAAGTCATGGTTGCGTGTGTAAATACTCATTTTCACTTTGCAAAACGTGTTTTTCCTTCTGAATATGTTTCTTAGATGTGGGTGAACAGATCCTGATTATGGGCTGTGGGATTGCTATAAATAGTTTATATTTTTATTACTTTCTAATTACATCATGTTGAACAGTAAGCAAGCAATGGAAATGACCACATACCGAATCACAGATAAAATCTCCCTTTCTTTGATGCAACTGGGGTTTGTTGTCATTTCGCCTTTTGCCCTTTCAATGATTTTGACTAATGTTTATGGACATTAATGAGAGCGTAGGAACCCAAATAGCCAAAACTATGGGGCCCCGCCATTGTAGATCAGACCTCTGGTGAAGGCGGAATGTCCTTCATTACTAACTTACTGTTGCAGCACAGCAACGCATTAAACAAGATTAAAGAACACAGAGCTTGCGTGGTAATTTATTTTCTTGACTTGCAACCCGCTGTGAAAATAATATCAAAGAAAACCATCTCGCCTTTGTTGTCTTTGTCCGAGTTTAAATGACAAAACTTCTGGGCAAGGGGTGGGCACCCGGGCACCGTGGCGAAAGAAGGCAATGACAGCCAAACCCTTCTCCCATCGGTGCGCCTCAGGGGAATGACTAGCAAACACGCTTCATTTGAAAATCGAGTTTTACCATTTAACAATCTTTTGCAACGCCTCAGCTTTTGGCCTTGGCTCTTTGTTTCTCACCGCACATGTCAAGATCCCCACGGGTGGAGGAGGGCGCAGCTGGGAAATTTGGGAGCAAATGGAAAATCAGGGTGAACCGGTTGTGCCTTGTGATGAGCAGCAGCGCTGCTCCTGGGTCCTGCCTCTTGTTCCTCCTGATCTCACGGGCTGCTTTCCTGGCCACTCGGCCGGTCGCCTTCGTTCCATTGACCACCCATAGCCAGTCCACCCCGCCCGATGGGCTGACATCAGCTCTTCCCACAGGAATTCTCCCACACTTGAGGCTCCCTTGATGGTCGAGGTCACTGACT